CTGTCTATATTTATGTCTTTTAAAGCCATAATGACGCTTTAGCCCTGCAATTAGAAGAGCTTGTGTTTATACTGCTGGTAGGTCAGGAGCTACTAGGTTAGGAGCAGATCAAAATGCCTCGGGAAGAAAAATGTGGTAGTAGTTAAGCTAAAACACGTTGCACTTCACGTACAGTGTCAGTGTGGTGCAGAGGTTTGCTCCCCCAGTGTCTGTGGATGGTAATTGTCAGGATCATCTGTTTTCTGAAGTAGTAGATGCACTTTCTGGTCTAGTTTTTAGATATTGCAGCATTTTGAGGATACTTAATGTGTCTGGATGATGATGCCAGCAGCAATTGCTGAGCAGAGCAGCATTAAGTTACCTCGTGAGCCGAAACCWGCTCCAGGGGAAAGTTTTGTTTACTGGTAACAGCAACTACTCATCCTGGTTTCTGGTGTGGCACCCAACTTGCCAGTAATAAGATGTTGTTAGCTGGATCTGCAGTTATATCACCAATGGTAGCTTGAATATGGGCTGCTCTTGCAGAATAACCTGCAGGATTTGCTGCTGGCTTTTGGGTCCTGAGTCCATTGTATTACACAGATGCAAATCCACAAATAAATTACGTGTGGGGAGAGCTCTTGCTGACCTGCACTCTCTGTGTGCATGGCAGTTATTTTCCAGACAAATGTATTTGAAGACCTAMAGAGCTCTTTAAGTGATAAAATCGTTAAATAATCAGCTTGGCAACAGTCCAGTGAGAGCAGCATTTTGTGACTTTTTCATTAAGTCCTGGCTCTTTCCTTTTCTATTGGCGCCTCGCAGCAGTGTTGTGCTGTGGTTTCATTTGCCTCTCATTGGCCTGAGGTAGTAATGCACAAAGGAGGAAGGTTGGGTGCAAGTTTAATTAGGACGGTATTGGTGTCTATTGATGATGTTGGTGTCTGTTGATGGTTTTTTATGATATTGATGGTGTTAGTATGGTCATGCAGCCTCGGCTGCCGGGGCAGGGAGCCCGTGTGGCACCACCGAGCGCTTGTGCCTCCCTTCAGCCCTGTCCTCATCCCGCCTTTCCCTGCTCCGTGTTTTGGGGACATGCTGATGCTCCCCGTGCTGGTGGGGCTGGAGCCYGATGTGGGGCAGCGCCTTGGGCATGAGCTGTGCGGTTGCAGCCGGTGCTGCCCAGAGCTTCCCCTGCTCGCGTGGGGTTCCTGTTCCCGCTTCCTGCCCTGCCGCTTTCCCTGGTAAGGGAAACGGTTGCCAGGGGCACGAGCGGTTTGCAGCGGCCAGCAGGAATAAGGAAGCRGCTGCTGCAGCCCCTGGGCCTGTGGTCGGTCAGAGCTGAACAAGTTCAGTGAAAACAAGTGCTGCTTTTTTCGAACAAGAACTACGTAGTCTGAACCATTCACTGCTCAGGATTTTAAATCTCTGTTTCTTTTCTCCCGCTGCTCTTGTTGCTTAATGTTAATCTGAGGATGGTCACTTTCAGCAGGATCTCCTACCTTTCCACGAGCCCTTTCCCCTGGCAGGGGCTGGAGGACTTCAGCTCTCGATGGGAACTTGTCCCGCTCCGGATCCGTCCCCGACACGTGCAGGCTCCTGCCAGCCCTTTCTGCGGAAGCGGCTCCGTGCATCCGAGCAGCTGCTYGGAGCCCATGGGGAACCTCTTGGCCCTGGCACTTGCTGCTGCAACAGCTGCTCGGTTCTGAAGAGGCCGCCTGAACATCCCGTGTGGGGCTGGAGGAATGAGAAGCGCCATGAGGGCAGCCTTGGGAGTCTTATCTGGGCATGTTCCAGAAAGGGGAAACTTGAAGGCCCTGTTAATGGCTTTCTGTGGTGCTCTGGGAAGAGCTGCAATTGAGGGAGGGGAAGAGARGGCTGGGGAGGCCTTCAGCTTGGTTTCATGGAGAAGATGTTGGCCCAGGGCTTGTCAGGGGCAGGTCTTGGCTGGGGCTCCCGCAGGGCGTCCTTCTGGGACAACTCTTTCCATGCGTCCCCACTCACGGCCTGGGCGTCGGGTGTCAACAGGATACGGGAGGAATTTGGCCTGGTCATCACTGATCCTTATTCCTCCCCTGGCATGGGAAGCCGGRCTGCAGGTCTCCAACATCTGCTCCCACTTAGTTGTCCTTTTCTCCCATGCCTCTTAAGAGTGGAAGAGGACAGATAACCTAATGCCAGTCAGTTGTGGATATTTTATTTATTTTGCCTTCTAGTAGTGCTTGAATATATGAACATGTGGCTTGTGGAAAGCTACTTTGAAGCTGAGAAGTTGCTTTCTGAAGAGAACTCAAGCATTTCTGCAGCTCYTCGTAGACTCGCCACGTATATAAACTAAATACCGAAGTGTGATGTGCRGGTGACCATGTTCTGTGGCATTTGAAGAGTCAGGTTCTTTTTCTTCCTGTTAATGTGCTGGGGTTCAGATGTTCGACCACAACTTCCCAGGTCTTTGGTGGCCTCTCTGAGAGGAGGACAAGTGCCTTTCTACCTGAACACAGCTTACGGGCCCTTGGCTAACTCCTGGGCTGACATTAATCCTTTGGCAACCTGAGATTGCCGTGAGCAATTGAATAGTGACAMCAGTGTAGCAGTTATTAAAAAATGGATGGTTTTTATGCTTTACTTGCAAATAAGTACATTCTAGTGCAGGTAACTATCAGTCTTAGTGCTAAGACCTTTTCTAAAGTGAGGGGGAAAACTGCACTGCAGCCAGACCTGCTTATAAGTGCTGTGCTGTGTTTAGACTCAAATTCCTTTCTGAAATCCTTTTTTTTTTTTTTTTTTTTATTATTTTTATTTTGAACCCCCAAACCCCGGTGTGTGAGCATGTTGCCGTAATGGGGAACTGTGAGGACTTAGGGAATAGGCAGGCTACTCCCAAATAGGTTTCCCTGCTGCTTCCTGAGAAGCAGCAGCGCTGAGGGCTCCAAGGAAGATCTTACTCATGTTTTAAAACCAGCCCTGCAGAGTGGTGGTTTTCTGTGCACAGAGTCGGGGCCTGAGCTTCTTGCCTCAAAGCTGCCCGCTGAAAGCTCTGTGTAGCTCCCTGGACAGACCCACAGCTAATTCCATATTTGCAGGCCGAGTTAAATTTATTCTTTTTTATGTTGTATAAAATCATTACCTAGCTAAAAATAACCCTTAGCTCGCTTGTTACACCAAGCACCACTAGTGCCTGCGAGGTCTGTGCTTTTACTCTGCTCCCTTGTTTGCTCCTAGGCCCTTGAACTGTCCAGGAAACCTTTTCAGCATCAGCCAAGTGCCCTGTGCTCTCCGGGCAGGCTCATCTGGGGCTGGCACTGGTGCTAAAGGTTCACCCAGCCCTTGGCAGGGTGAAACCTAAAACAAAATATAAATATAAAAAAAAATACATATATATATATATGAATTTTTTTTAAATATATGTATATATTTTACTTTTCACTGAGACTGCTTCAGTGGTCTTTTAGATGCCATCTACTAACAGCCACCACAGGATGTTTAATTCTCCTCTGTTCTCACATTCCCAAGGACTTCTGAGGCCACATGTGTCCTTGCTTTTCTTTTCATTCCAGCTTTYCTCAGTCTGAGACTACTTTTCTGGATTTCTTTGTTTCTGCTGTTAAATGTATTTTCTTAAATACATTTTTGCATCTCTAAATTGGATAATGTTACTGCACGTAAGTTTCCTCCTATTAGTGACATCCTAAATAGCCTCATTTAGGCTGCAACTTAGTGTAACGTTACATTTAATTGAATTTTCAGACATCTGCTTAATTCGGTGGTACTAAGTGACTGAAAATTGTACCAATATTTAATCTAACACCCAAAGCTGCTGTGAACACTTCATTTAGATTTGCAGCCAAAATCTGTAAATAAAGCTAATCCTTTGGCTCTTGTAGTTCTGTTTTTTTTTTCCAGCTTCTCTACTCACGCTAAAATAGAAGTAATTCTACCTCTTAATGACAAGACAGGCTCCTGTTGCACTGGACTGGGATAAATCCCTTCAAAATATTCCAAACTACTGTAGTTTAAAATCTAATTTAAATAGCTGAAGAATAGCTTTGCTTTTTTAAAAGAAAGTTTAGTCTCAGATGTTTGGGTCCTTGTTCCTCATTGGAATAGCAGGAAGCTGCTCCTCATGTAGGAGCTGAACGCTCTGCTGAAGCTTATGATRTTCTGCATAAATGTGCGCGCTGCTTTAGAAGAGCAGAGGGTCTCGGTGGTGGCACTTTTGGAGTTACGGGATGTGTTGTATAAAATAGATCTTCCAGCTGGACCTGTAAGATTAGTTTGTAGCCATTAAACTTGTAAACATTATTCCGGACAAGTAATTTTCCAAAGTGATGGGGTGTTTTGCCTGTAGTGATGTCAGCTGCAGTGGCAAATGCCCTACACGGGCTCTTGTTCTTACCCGGGTTTGGGCTCTGGAAAACACTGGATTTTCCTGCCGAGCCTCAGGAGGGATGTTTGGGTTTTTGTTTTATATTGCAGAATACCTCGCTGTAACGTGCACCTACATGCTGTGCCTGTGGGGGAGTAGTTGGGTGTAGTTAGTGTGACCCTGGAAGCTGAGGGTGAGTAGAGCTGTGTAGGTCTGGAGATTCCTGGTCCTTGTTTTAGGTTTGTGCCCCTGATCAAGTAACATGGTGAATCTGGGAGTCCAAAAATACAAAGCTTAGAAGAAGAAAGCAGGCAAGTGTGGATGCTAAGTCTTGAATTACTTGCAAGTGGTGTGAAGGCATCCAGAAGTACCTGTCGGGTAAATCTCAAGTCTTGGTGGAACTAATTATGTTTGGAAATTACTTGCAATCCAGTAAAGCTGTCTTGTGAAATAACTTTAGAAGTGAGGCTGGGAAACAAATCTGTTAACCGTGGGTAACTTCTTGAAAATGGCAGTGCTGTCCTGAAAAATCGAGTGAATAATTTCCCAGAATGAATTTGCAGAGAGTACAAAACAATGAGCAAAAGCTGCAAAGATCTGCAGTGCACCTGGTGTCGCCTGAGTGCTTTTCTTTCTCTTTTCTTCTCTGCAATAGTGACCACATGGAAAATATTTATGGCTACTTAATGAAATACACCAATCTCGTCACCGGTTGGCAGTATCGGTAAGTCTCCGTTTGCTTGCTTATTTTTTAAAAAACATTAAAAATTCCATGGTTGGCAACGTGAGCRTGTCCAGGGCGTGCCAAAGGTCTTGGCCCCTGCCACCCGCATTTCCAGAAGCAGGTGACGAGCTGCCCTGCTTGTGTCCCTGCAGGTTCTTCGTGCTGAACAACGACGCGGGCCTGCTCGAGTACTTCGTGAACGAGCAGTCGCGGCACCTGAAGCCCAGGGGCACCTTGCAGCTGGCCGGGGCCGTGATCTCGCCCAGCGACGAGGACTCGCACACCTTCACAGTGAACGCTGCCAGCGGGGAGCAGTATAAGCTAAGAGGTGGGCAGCCCTCGTGTCCCCGGGCAGGGGACACTGCCGCTAGGGGACACTCCCGTCCCTCGCCTGTGGGACAGTTCCGGGCCTGTCTGTGTGTCCGTCTGTTATCCAGAGCAGAGAACATGGAACARGCAGCTGCAGGGAGTGTTATGGGTGAAACTGTTAGCCCATCCTTAGTGAAGAACCATTCTTTTCTTTGGTTCTTGACTTCTTGGGTTTCATGTTTTTATTTTTTATTTTTTTTTCTGAAGACCGTGGTCTTAGTATAAATAGTACATGAGGCTTAACCTTCACGTATAGAGGCCTTAAACTGGACTTAGCTGGACTTTTTCAGAGCTTTGCAAATTAACTTATATAATAGGACTGCCTTAATGYTAGCAGAGGGATGCATTAGTCCTTATATTAACACATTAACTCTTTGGTTATGGAAGTCTGTTCCCTGGTTTATTAGATGACAGAAATCAAGGATATCTTGAGCATGCCTTTCCTGGGAGGCTTGCTGTCTCTTTTTCCCCTTTGGGGTACCTTATCTGTCTGCCAGGAAAACACGCCTTAGATAGTTGGATTAAAAATGTGTGTAGGGAGAAATTTATTGATGATTTTTTGTCACTAAGGGTTTTTTTTTTTAAATTGCATGCTGTTTATATTGAACTTGATTTAATATTATAGCTAATTATGATTTATTTGAACAATTTTTAGCTGGAATCTTCTGTAATCTTCAAGTCCTTTCTCTCTGTTAAAGAATTAAGCAATCTCTTGCTCCTATTTYGTGTTGTCTTTTACCTAATCCTTTTGCTTGGCTTTTGTTAGCCACGGATGCGAAAGAGAGGCAGCACTGGGTCAGCAGGCTCCAGATCTGCACGCAGCACCACACGGAAGCCATCGGCAAGGTTTGTACCCCTCGGCTTCTCGGGTGAAAATGAGTTAGGCTGCTGGTAAAACCAGACCTAGATCTAGGTGAAAGTAGTGCTGCAGGAGAATAACTGGTCTTGAACTTCATGGCAAGAAACATCCCTCTGAATAACCACAGACTTTTTAGAGAAATAKGGTTTGATAATGAAACAAAGTGGAGTCACTGTTGGTCCTGAAGAGTTTAATGGATCTGCTGGAWCAGGTATTCCTGGGGGTGTGGATAAAAACAACAGGTGGAGCTAAAGGAGCAGAGTAAGAGTTCAGTGGTTTTGTATTTTCTTGGCTGATAATGAAATAGTCTTTGCTGCTGCCGAAGCCCTTCCCTCGTGTGGGAACGTTGCTTTTCTCTCACTAACTGTTAAACTCATTCAAAAGTCTGGAAGTGTGTTTCAGATGAATTCATTTAGTCTTGATCTGCAGGACTGAAAACCTTCAAATCAGATGGAGTGTTACCTACTGGTCTATCACATTTCATAGTTTGATTATAATCACGCTGTAAAGCACAACCACCATCTGCAGATAAGGCAAAGCACTTATTTAGCAGTTGCTAACAATACTTTACTCAGGATTCGTAATATTCATAATCTGTCCCTTGCTTTATAAAAACTGAGGATTCAAATTCTGCTATATGGTTCAAAATAGAATGTTTGCTAGATATTAGGAATTTATTGTAAACGTTTCTTAATATGCTTATTTATTCACTAGAACAACCCTCCTCTGAAATCTCGCAGCTTCTCTCTCGCATCCCAAGGAAGCTGCAACTCTCCTGGTGTGCAAAGACGACCCAGCCAAAATGCAATTTCTTTTTTTAATGTTGGACATCACAGATCATCATCTGGAAAAAGAGTTCCTATTCTGCAGCCAGATCACCTTGTAGATGTTAGAGAGGTTTGTATGCCTTAAATCTTCTTTTGGAAGAACTGTCATATTGTTTTAGGCTCGTGGAGAAACCTGCTACTCCAAGCTGGACTTAGTGTTGTGCACATGTCCTAAATTATTATTGCAGAGCTGTAGGAGGATGGGTGACCTGCCCTGCTTTGCTGCTGAAGCATGCAGTGGATTCTTTGACTTCTTTGTGCTCTGCAATAATACCCTGACACTCAAGCAGAACTCTGCTTTTTTTCTGATTCTTGCAGCTCCTGGCCCTGCATCTAACAGTGATATACCCTGTAAYAAAGTAGAACACTGTATACTGTGGTACTTATATGCTGTTCCTTCCCCATGTCAAGTAATTGGAAAATTGACTAAGCTCCTCTTATTCTTAGGAGGAACTTGGTTATGGTTGATATGGAAGCATATTAATATCGCTTTCTGACCTACTAATTCATATGATTGAGAAGAAAGCAAAATAAAACAAATTGGAAGTATGTTTTCATTSACTTCAAAAACATTCAATTTTTATGTTTTCATTGATTTATTCAAATTTAGTCTCTTTTGGAAAAGATGGAAATAACCAGCCCATGTCAACTGGCAGTAATTGACTGCTGATTAATTTAACTTGTGAATATTTASTGTGTAGATCATAAAAATCTAAAGCACCTACTACTGAAGTGTAATTTTTAAATCCATAAATAATCATGCTGCGTCACCAAACTGAATAATAATCAAAATATTGTTTTCTGCACTTGCAATGCTAAGAAAAATCATTCCTCCTTACTTTGACAAAACCCAAACAGTGAGAAACCTAATTACAGGACTCAAGGAATCCTCAGTAAAGGTAGCTTTTCCAAACTTTGAAGCTACTATGCATAGCTTTTTGAAGCATATTTTTGCTTGTTGGATACAATGCCTTAAATTATTTTATTTAAATATRTAATTAAAATAAATAGCAGGTGTGTGATTGGTACATTTGAGCATAATAGGGCTTGAGGAATTGCAGGCTGGGTTGGATTAGCTGTGGGAAGAACCCTGCTCTTCCAGTGCCTGCCTCATGGTGATTCTTTCCTAGTTTGCCCCCATGCACCATAGCTGGTGCTTTTGCCWGTCCCTTTTTCCTTCTGCTTCTTCCCCTTGTTCTTTGCCAAACGTGTCTTGCTGCTGACTTGGAAACCCTGCAAAACGAGGGATTCAAGAGGATCTTTGTATGCTGACTTGCACTTATTACAGGCATCTCTTTGCAAAACAAGAACTAGCAACTATGTAATTCAGACAGATTCAGAGTTTTCAGCTAGTTCTTTGGAGGGGCAAGTGCTCTTTTCCCTGATTATAAATCGGAGTACACGAGGGGAAGAAGCGTGCCCTTTGGAAGGGGACACGTGCCTATTTGCACTTGCATGTTGAACATGCCATTGCTTGCTCTAGTGCCAGCAGAGGAGGACACTGTTGGTGACATGAGTGTGTGTCTTGTCAAATTCTTCTGTGCAATTGGACCTTATTTTTGCCCTTTTTAGCCAAACCAGGCTCTGAAGCTTGACACAGAGTTCCCATGACTTTACATTAGGGTCATAATCTTTAAGGAGGGTTGTTGCCTTCCATGACTCTGCAGTGTCCTGTGAAGTGGCACCTGATGCTGGAAGGAGGTGCCTGAGTGCTGCCACCGCATGAATTACTAACAGCAAAGATCACCAGAAGGATCACGATGATTTGTCAGCTAATCCTCGGTGCTGTGCTTGGCTTTTTCTTTTCTTTTTTTTTTTCTTTCTGATACATCAAAACTGCTCAAAGTATTGGAAAAAACTTTTACACAAGGATTTAAGTAGTGCGTTTTTAAGATTGGAAGATGTGGCACATATTCTGGTGATAACCTGTGTGTTTGCAAAAGCAAGGCTATATAAAAGATGTTTTACTATTTGTCTTTACTACATTGTCACTCTTAGGACATGCTAAGGCCGACTCTGCACAGTTCACTCCACTTTGAGAGCCATGTGCTCTGTAAATTCACACCTTAGCGTACTATGTAGCCAGACCCTAAGAGTTTCCCAGCTCCTCTTTCTGTGAGGTTGAATAAATCCTTATTGCTTGAGTATTTCTTGCATAAAGCCTTAAAAACAGTTCTTGGAAGAGACTGCAAGCCAGGATGCTGCATGAGAATATAAACTGCCAGAACTGATAAATTACCAAACTGACTAATATTGTTTTAGATGGGCAGGTATGCATCTTGGAKCCTTTTAGGGGAATTCTTATTCTTCTCTCCTTACTAGATCTGTTCCTAGGTTTAACTTAACTGCCAGAATGTATAATGATTGCAGAGTGGTGATATCCAGTTACATTAGCACTTATATCTTCTCAGAGAAGTATCAAGCAAGCAGAGAAGCGTGTCCTCATCCCCATAGTCCTAGGGGAACTGGKCAGTATTTTTGCTTCTGTGAGCTCAAAGAGGAAAGGTTTGAGGTTTTTCCAAAGACTACAGTGTGCGATTTGACAGGCAGCCTGCTTGGCCCCTGTGTTTTCAGGCAGATGTACTGTTGCAGCTTCCACATTGTGGGGGAGCATAGGCCTGTTTGCAAAGGGGAGAAGCAGCTTGTGGGAGGAGCTGGTGGGGAAGTAATATAAGGAAGCTTTAATGGAGACACATCATGAAGGTGAAATTCCTCTGTGGTGGTGGTTTTGTTTTCCTCTGGGTAGTGTACCATGAAACAGTYATCTGAAGCATGCTGGTAATGCAGGCAGTAAATGAGGTTTCATCTAGTTTGACCTGTGTGGTGATGCAGGTCTTGTCCAAAAAAGCACAGGAACCGTCTTGTAAAGAGTGACGAGGCTTTAACTTCTGTAGAAAGATCCTCATAGATGGTCTCCTTCCAGGCTGTGCAGAGCACAGAGCTGAATTTAATCTTCATACACTCTGTGTGTGGTGTTTTGACCCCTGTCTTCCCATCCCTACCAGCCAAGCATGGGAAGTGCTTGATGTTTCCTGCAGCATGTGCCACGTTTCAGTCCCTCCTTGCCTTTTCTGGAGTCTTCTTGGTGTTCTTGGCTTGTTAATACACTAGTGCCATGTACTACAGTGGGAATTTCATTGTGCATTTCATGGAATTTTAGTGKCTGCATTAAATATAGTAGTTGTGATTAACTTTACATGTGAAGCCATCAYAGCTTATTACCTTCTTTTATTAATACTGTATAAAAACCTTTCCAGACCCTTTGTGATCACAGCCCAGCATATATCACACAACRTATTTTCATCCTTTTCTCATTAAAACTCTTTTGATAGATGATGTCTCAGGCCGAGGGCCAGCAGAGAGACTTGATCAGGAGCATAGAGTGCCTGCCTGTCTCTGGTCACCTTACATCCTTGGATCAAGACCTGTTAATGCTCAAAGCAACTTCCATGGCAACCATGAACTGCTTAAATGACTGCTTCCATATTCTCCAGTTACAACATGCTTCACAACAGAAGGGATCCTTGCCTGCAGGTGGGTGGAGATGCTCACAAAGATGTGAATTCTGTAACAGCTATGAATCCTACACGGCTTCGCTTGCAGAAATGCTAAGTCAAGCTTCTCATAGCTGGAGCAAACACCCTGGTTGCTCGTCAGCTTTTTTCAGAGTTGAACTTCTTGGTGATTGTTTGAATTGCTGAACTTATATATATTTTTTTCATCATTTTCTCTATTTGTCCCCTGCCAGTGCACACACRTTCTCTGCCTCCACTTTCCCCCTCTCCATTTAAAATTTATTTGTGAGTCTGATAAAATTCTACTCAATGTGTTGAGAAAGTACTTGTCAGGCTTAAAATGTCAGGGTTAAAAAAAAAAAAAAAAAAAGCCAGTTTGCTATAAATTGTTAGAACCAAAAGCAGAACAGTATATATTGCCCTAGCTGCATCAAAGTGTGTCGTTAATGACAGACTTCAAGATGATTGGGAAACTTGCAGTGATTGACTTGAATTTAGGAAAAGGTAAAAGTGAAATCAAGCGCTTTCTAATAGTGCTCCATTATCAACATGGCACATTGTGATAATAATTTGCAACTCTTTTAAAGAAAAAAAAATGAAATATAGAAGCAGAGMTGAATCTGCTGTAGCAGAGCAGAACTGCTGGCAGCCGAGCAAAAAACCATTTCCCCTGAGAGAGYTCACTCTATGAAGGTCACTAATAAAGAAAATAGCTTTTTTTTTTTTCTACTTGAAATAGCCAAGAGCAGATTTGATTATGGTCTTTTAACTGAGAGAACATTAGTGGGGAAAAATTGTTCATTCACAAAATTAAAATACAACCATTTTTGAAAGTCTTACCACTTTTAAACTCCTTTCTGAAGTTAGTAATGAGAATTAAACAGGATTTAAAATAGCTTTCTTTAAATGTATCTGAAAGGAGAGAGCTGTTGTCAAACCAGCCAAATGGTTAGCCAGCCAACATAGAGTAAATGCAGTCTGCAGTACATAATTACGGGTTATGTTGTAATTTACCATTGAAAAGGCATATAGTACTTGTGAAGTGATTTTAAAGTTGATGAAAACCTTTCCAAAAAGGTAGGTGACGGTGAAATTCTGAGCATTTATTTCCTGACATCTTTGGAGATCTTATTTAAATGGCTAAATAATAATTTAAAAATTACAGCCATGTACTGCCTGGCTCCGAGGATCACTACGTTAATGAATTAATGATGAGCAGACTTTAAGGAAATATCTTGCCAGGGAAAAAGTAGTCTAGTCCCCATCATAAAACTGTTTTTCCCTTTCCTCCCTCTCCCTGCTCTCTCCGGTAGTTTCCTGCTGCTGATGCTACTGTTTTCTCTGATTAAGCTTTCTCTGCCCAGTTGAGGATGTGACCTGCTCCCAGGTAACAGAGATATGGAAATGATGGATTATGTGTAGGATAAGGAAAGCCAGGCTTGGTCCCTAAGTACATGGAACAGCAGTACTGTGCTAAAAGCTACAGCTTCTTAATTAGTGTTTGCAGCCTGAGAAGGTTGCTTTGTCACAATTTGGGTATTTTTCAGTGAAAACTTAGAGGAGTCACCTGTAACTTATTAAGCTTTGAAAAAGAACGGAACATTTGCAGTATTAATGAGGAACTCTATCCATTGTGATAAATAGCTGGGAGTAACCAGACACCCTGGAGTTGCTGAGTGGGTGACAGCCTTTTTTGAGTGACTATTATTTATTCAAGACCACATGCTTGCTCATTTTCAGATGAGGAAAAAAAAGGATGCCCTTTCTGGAGAAAATATTGGCCAAAAAAACCTTTCTTCTTTAGCTCTTTCTAGTCTACAACTGACCTGAGTTTGAGGAAGGTACCAAGGGAACACTTCTTTTGATACCAGCTGAAGAAAACTGCGAGGCTCACTTAGCATTCCCGTGATATTGGGTTCTTGCAGCAGTGTCTGGTTACACCTTGCATGACACCAGCGAGCTTCTGTGGTGCAAGTTGCCTGTATTACAGCTCACCAATCGCAGGGTTTGTGCTAATGATTGCCAAAGGGGGTGTCTCATTGCACCACCCYGTTCCCTGGCTGCCAAAGGGATTGATTGCTGAAGGACTTAGCTGCTTCCAGCTTTTTCTTGGGAAAGCTGTTTTGTGAATAAAAGCACTCTATATTTTTTCTCACCTTTTGGAGGATGAGTAAGCTGCAGCGCAAACTTTCTTTTGCTTCAGGAACAACCATCAGTTGGCTGGAACCAAAGATATCTCTGTCGAACCACTTCAAAAATGGAGCAGCGCAGAGTTTCTCGGCAGAGATTAACAAGCCAGCGTCTGTCAGAGAAGAGCAGTCCATTTCCGAGCCCGGCCAGCTAACCAGGGTAAGGTAATGTGAAAATCCCATTTCTGTAGGSAGTGATTCTGTGCAGCAGCTGGGAATGTTTTCCATCAAATGACCTAAACCAGCTTAATTAGAATTCTTCTCAGACCAGTCTCAATTAGCCTGTGTGGGAGGGAGAGTGCAATTGCAATAAACAAAACTTTCTACATTGCCTTTTTGATAATTTCTGCTTCTTTCTATAGCTAGCTGTCTACAGGAGGGAGAAAATATTTGGACAGTAAGAGAAAGTATATAAATAGGCAGTATTTGTTTGCTTTTTGATCTAAAACAACTGGAAGCTGCAGTGCAGAGAACCTAATTGGAATTTGACACTTGCAAAACAAGCCCAGGAAAAGCTGTCTAAGTAGATGAGAAACAAAACTGCTGGTTTCCAGCTATTGAGATTACCTGTGTGTCTTTTTCCAGCTCTTACTGAATCTGTTTTTCTTAATTTGAGCAACTCTCATCACTTGACTTCAGGATGGCTTAATGTATTTGGAACCTAGCAGCAGTCTATAGCATTACAAATGTCAAAATTTAATTAAAGTGCAAAATATTGAAATAAAAATGGGGATTATGGAAAGAACTTGTTTTAGCAGCTGAGCTAGGAAACTGTCATTAGATTTTTTTTTTAATAGTMGTTCTTGCACAGTTTGGGACCAYGTGCTTCTGAAAGATGGTTTGTTGTTGATCTTCACGACAGCATCTTGCTTGGCTTTGCTATCTTACTATACAGTGCAAATACTTTCTAGTGGCCACTATTTATAGCTTATTTTTCCCTTTTTAATAAATTTCATTGGCTGCCATGAAGTGAAGAAGTCAAAGCTTTCAGATAAATCCATGTGAAACTCCTTTCTTCTAGTAATTAAGCAAGTTAAGGGTTCAAGTGCTTTGTATTTGGCCTTGCCTTGCAGCTGGGATGTGTCTAGTGTTATCATTCCCTTTTGGGTATTTTTGGCTGTTATTTATCTTTGCAGAACAGTGTAGCATCCGTGGAAGGGAGACACCTGTGTGGGGCTGCAGCTTCAGTCACAGTTGGGGCTCATGAGGACTTGGGCCTGGCCTTTCCTTGGTGGCTGGGTGCTCACAGTGTTGCCTTGATCCAAYGGCAGCAGGTCCAGAGGCTTCATTTAGATCCCCCTTGCTGCGGTGTTTGCTGCACCTCCCCTCCGGCTCCATGTGCTGGGAAGAGGCTGCTCTGCGTGCCCAGGAAGGCCCTCGGTGCCTGCGGCGTCGCCCGTGKGTGCCCAGGAGCCCGTGGTGCCTGCAGCAGCCCCGAGGCTGGCTCTGYTGCTCTGTATTGAACTAAAGGACACCCTGCCTTCTCCGTGCTTTTTTCTTTAAATCCAAGTCTCCCGTTGGGGTGTTGAGCACCTGTAAGTGTGTGACCAGGACCTACCRGTGCCTCCTCACACAAACGTAGCTGGGTCAGACGTAGCTGGGTCATTGCCAGCAGCAGGGGAGTAACGATGCCAGCGGGGTGGCAGCACGAGCCCTGGAGCAGTGGGGGTGCAGAGGGCCCTGYCRCTGCTGGGCTTTCTGCTACCTGGTGATTCACTCTTATATGCCCGTCACCCTTCCGTGGATCAGAAAATTAAGGAGAACGGGATGCATTTGCTTCTAGCCTCATTTGCTTCTAAACATCTTTCTTCTTTTCCCCTGACCTCTGTGAGACAGGCGGAAGTCTTAGCCTGCATCCTCTACATGAGATCTGCACCAAATTATTTTAATATCCTTTTAAATWCAACCGTTGTTTGTCTTGGGAGTAGATCCTATTATGTTGATGCCTGCAGAAATTTGTTTAGTTTTTTTTTTTTTTTCATACATGGACAATTAAATGCAATATGAAGGTTTTTTTGGATAGCGTCTCCACAATCACATATTTGATCTGAAGTTTATGGCTCTTATCCCAGGAAGCTGAGGAAATAAATCCAGATGAGGAGCTGGAGGATATCAGTGATGATAAGGAAGATGATCTAGGAGCCGTGGAGGAGCAGCGCAGCATTATCTTGCATCTCTTGTCTCAGCTGAAACTTGGCATGGACTTAACAAGAGTAAGTAACTGAAATATGAAGGGGAGTTGCATTGGAAGCGAAATGCCTTTTGAAACTCTGCTCCTGTACTGAATTATTGCCTTACATGTGAGAGTGAGGCCTAGCAACTTGAGCTGCCAAAGTCTGATATTCCAGTAGGTTTTACATGAAAAATGTACTGAGGAATTTTTTTTTTTGCTTTAATGCAAGTGCCCATAGCTATTCTCTCAATTGTTTTTTTTCTACTTTTTTTGGCTTTGCTATAATGGGCTTTGTTTTTCTGCAGTATACCTTATTCTTTCCATATTGTATTTTCTACTTCCTTTTCACATTTTATTTTTTCTTATCTTTTCAGTGATCTTTCTCCTTACTAATGTTTTCACACATAACTTTGCACCTCTGTTTATGCTACTAGAAGTTTTTCTTTTTGTCTTCCCATCACCCACCTTCAGGTGTCAGTTTGCACTACCTCTGCCCTGTTCTCATTCTGGTTTTGCTCATAGCTATAGGAAGCAGGAACAAAGTTTTGCAGGAGGGAAGTAGTTTCACACTCTTGTACAGACCTCAAAGAGAAAGAAAAAAAAAAAAAAAAAAAAAAAAAAAAAAAAAAAAAAAAAAAAAGAGGGAGCTTTGAAAAATTGATTCCCAGTTGCTACTGTAAAACTTATAAAACTTGAGCCTCAAATCCGGGAAAATGCAGCTGCTATTGGGTTGTTTGTTTTATTCCTGTAAAAACATTTTGCAATAGATATTTTTAAAGAAATATGCAGATAAGGATATGGAACCAGGAAATCACTTTTTTAGGACTATGTTTCTTTGCCAGCCTTTTCAGCCACTAAAGGCAGTTGTTTGTGGAGTTTGCAWTGCTCAGCTCGGGAAAGAAGGAGATAGGAGCAGCCCGAGGGCTGAGCTCGAACCTCTGCTGCGCAATCCCCGGCCGCTTCCTGTCACTCACTGGAGCTTTGGGGCTTCCCTTCCCTTCCAGGTGGTTCTCCCCACGTTCATTCTGGAGAAGCGGTCGCTGCTGGAGATGTACGCGGACTTCATGTCGCACCCGGACCTCTTCCTCGCCATCACGAACGGCGGCAGCGCCGAGGAGCGCATGATCCGCTTCGTGGAGTATTATCTGACCTCCTTCCACGAGGGCCGCAAAGGGGCCATYGCCAAGAAGCCCTACAACCCCATCATCGGGGAGACCTTCCACTGCTCGTGGAGGATGCCCAAGAGCAAAGTGGGCGCCGAGGCCGGCGGCGACGCATCTGCTCCTTCCTCCTCAGAGCAAGTAACACCAGCGAAAGACCTGGAAGGCCAAACAGARCTGGACTATTACACAGTCAAATTCGTAGCTGAGCAAGTGTCCCACCACCCTCCCGTCTCAGGGTTTTATGCTGAGTGTGTGGAGAGAAAGATGTGTGTCAATGCCCACGTCTGGACAAAGAGCAAGTTCTTAGGAATGTCGATAGGAGTGACGATGGTTGGGGAAGGTAAGTGCGAGTTGGTGAGTGTTTGTGTGTGTTGTTTCTTTTATTCGTTTTAGAAGACTGGAATATTAGCTTGAAAGAAAATCAGACATAGGCTTGAGGCAGCACAAGTAGTGAATGCTGCTTCATGGTTTTGTTGCAAAGTCTTTTCAGAAAAATCCATTTTGAGACATGTCAGTTGCTATGGTGGCTTTTCAGTTTTTATTTTTAATGTGCCTCTCCTTACCATCTGAGAACTTTAATGCATCTCGTTCAGTGATTTGGTACTTCCATTTCTTCTGCTTATAAAATAATGAGGGCCTGTAGTATCCCCTTTATAAATTGCAAGTTTATTAGCAATGTGAATAAAAACMTACACAGCCTTATGTATTGACAAAAATTAGAAATATATTCAGAAATTTTTGAATTTGGTAGAAACAGGGCAGTTGCTCTAATTAATTAGAGTAACTARTTTCTGTGGATATTTCCAAACCATTGGACAAGTTAGCTCAAATCACACAGTCATTAAATAGAAATATTATTCTGTTAGAACAGAACAGATTATGTATCTTACTATGCTTTTCCTGTACAGAAATTAGTCCCCTAATAGAAGAAATACCCTTCTCTATCCYCCAAACTGTAATTTCTCTTTAATGTTAGTATTTTCTGGTTCTGAATGGGAGATGCTTTCTCAGCTCTTCAGTGGTTCTTGGGTGTGTTGCCCAGCAAATGGGAACTGGAGATGCTTGAATACAAGCTGGCAAGGGAGGTGGAAGATGCATCTTGATGCTGGGCCTGTGCCAGCTAATTCCTCCTGGCACAGGCTGGAGGCCTCCGTCTCCTCTAGGGCATTTTTCAGATCGTGAAATGAATCTAAATAAAATGGGAAACACTCCAATAGCAGCTTCCAAAACACATGGTGATTAGTGTGGTATAGAGGTATGGGTCGGTGCTGACAGCAACCAGTCACTATGCTGTGTTTTCTGTAATTGCTCAAATACAGCAAATACAGATCTTGTGTGTTGGTATGGAATTTTTTTCCTTTTTTTCTTTTTTCTTTTTTTTTTAAGGAAACAAAACCTTGCATTCTAAAATCCAAAGAAAAAAGTTTATTTTTTCTGAGGCTACCATTAACATTTATTGCCGGAGCCACTGTGAAGAAAGAGCTTTGTTTGTCTTGGCAGAGAGCTGCAGTGAGGAGGATTGTCCCTGCTTCCTGCCTTCAGATAGGAAAGGATGTATTAAAGGGGGAAGAAACAGCAGGAATGTTAGTCYTCCTCAAGATGAGTAGTTCATGGAATTCATTTCTTATTTCCTCTTGGCAGCATAAATGTTGTGCTGCTCTGCTCCAGAATCCTTGGTAAGACAGCAGCAAGCCCTTGTACATGTGACTAAAACCAATATGTTGCACAATCTGATATTATGCGTGATGGAGTGGTATTGTTAGGATAAATGTCTATTCCCAAAAGGAATGTAGATGCTTGTTGCTCAGGTTAGTACTTTCAGCAGAATGGTTTTATCTAGAATCTGTAAAAAGMGGAAAGCTCATAAAAAATGATATTTATTGTGAGGGAACGATGAGGAAACTCAGGCAGAAGTAGCCCTGAGTACTTACTGCAATAACTTGTTTGATCTTGTCTGAAATTATGCTGATTTAGGGACTCTCATTTCTTCACACAGGTCTCTTAAGCCTCTTGGAGCATGGGGAGGAATACACGTTCTCGCTGCCCTGTGCATACGCACGATCCATTTTAACTGTTCCTTGGGTAGAACTAGGAGGAAAAGTCAACATAAACTGTGCAAAAACGGGGTATTCTGCAAGTATTAACTTCCACACCAAGCCCTTCTACGGTGGCAAATTGCATCGGTGAGAGCACTACCTTCTGTTTTTCTATGTAATCTCTGCTCTAGGGCTSCTGTAGCTACATCACCACCCTGGTYTRTGTGTGMTRCATAATGCTTGTTTGACATTCTGAGGAAAATGCACTGTTTTTCCTGTTTTTGAATACTTGGGATAGTGCAAGGCTCTTGCTTATCTAGATAAGCCTAACACGGGGGCAATTAATTAAGGAAGGAGAAAATTAAGTGCTATAAAATGTAGTAAATATCTGGACTGGGAGCACTTGGCGGTCAAGCATCCAGTGCTTGTTCAAAACGCCCCTTTAACCATTTCACTCTGACCTCATGCATTTAGTCTTGCAGCYGAGAACATCAGAAGCTCTTCATGAGGGTAAAAATCCTTCTTGGTGAAACACTAGGGTTAGGCTGTGCTGAAGGTTACTTACTGCTCATGCTGCTCCAACACTGGCCTGTTTTCTTGGCTGAATCTTCAGTTTTGGTGATAGAAAACTGTGCTGAAGAAGTGTATGTTTTGAAAGAACTTCTGGGTGAATTTAAATGCAAGAGTCTACCAAAATCCAGATGACTTTTAATAAATGGCTAATGGTTTTATTTTCTTCCTCCGGATGCCCTCGGGGTGGGAAGGAGCGTGRGCTCCTCCCTGCCTTGCACCAGCTCAGGTGCATCCAGCCTCTCYGTGCTGGAAGCTCTGGTCCCAATTGCCCCTTTCCTTTCTTGGAAAAGCATTTTCTTTTTRGCTGCCGGGCTCGGAGTGGGTGGATGTTCCCATGGGAATGGCTTGGTGGGAACCAGCAAGCGGCTGCCTTGGGGCTCTCCGCTGTGGGGCAGGTGCTCAAAGCCAAGGAATGGCTGAGTGCGAGTTAAGTGTCATTAGACACAGCTCATTTTGTGGAAAAAGGTGGAAAACGGGCGTCCTGCGTGTGGGGCTTGAGGCCCTGGGCAGCCGGAGCTGATTTGGGGCTGGAGAGGGCGTCTGGAAACTCTGCTGCACCCTGCAAGTCAGGTCCTGTCTTCAGTCTATTCCACATAACTAGCCAGGCCTTGTTCCATCTCCAAAAGGGAMGAATTGCAACCTCTATGCTTTGTAATTTTAATTTCTGAATAAAAAAGGCATAATTTGCTTGCCTGCTTAAACRCAGTGCTCTCTACTCAGCTCAAAATCAGCATCTCAAGGTCTTTAGAAAAGTCTTGATGTTGCAAAGAGAAATATGTGTCAGTGTACTTATGGGGACACGAAGAGATTTGTGCAGAATTTTTATGTTCTGTAGTAGAGCAGCATTTTTAATATCAYGAGCATCAGAGCTTTCTGTGGCAGACAGGAAAAGCAGTTCTTGTCCACGTGTTTGTTTTTAACGAATGAATCTCCTTCTATGCCTTCTGTCCCTGTGTATCTGATATTTAATGTAAGCAAAACRRAGATGTGAAAGMRGATTATGGTTGGRGAAAATTCMRCAGTAAAGGCTGAGGTCAAGTGCCRGCAGGTAGTGAGATAAATTCTTGGCAAGTGTCTTATTTTTTTAATCTAGACTAAATGTCTGGTGTGATATTTCAAGTAACTAATGTCAACTGCTAATAACAACTGGTAAATCCATATTTGTTTTTTTCAGTTCTTTTAAAAACAAAGTTTAGGTTTAAACTAAAGCTTCAAAGTGAGTTTTGTGAGTTAGAAGAGAATTAGTGCAATGAGGGAAAGTCGTTTTCCTCTTTCAGCCTCCCCATGCAAACACAATTTAAGTAACAAACACTTTTAAAGACTGTGTGACGAGTTTGCAGGCGTTTTCAGTGCGACGATGGAACCAGTCATCCCACAGTGTGTTTAGTCCTGATGTTTTRGAAATAAAAAAGTGATATTTCCCCAGGGTGACGGGCGAGGTGAAGCAGAACGCGACGAACACGGTGGTGTGCCGAGTGCAGGGCGAGTGGAACAGCCTGCTCGAGTTCACCTACAGCAGCGGCGAGACCAAGTGCGTGGACCTCACCAAGCTCTCRGTGACCAGGAAGCGCGTGCGGCCCCTCGAGAAACAGGGGCCCTTCGAGTCGAGGTAAAATACCTCTGCACAGTGTCGGGGCGCTGAGAGAACGCAGAGTTTTGCTGTGAGGCATCGCAAACTTGTAAAGACACCTGGTTGTCCTTGGTCAATAATGCCCCCATCTTTTTTAAGGTGTGTAATGGTGATGGATACGAAGCACGTGCAGGCAAGTGTTTAGTCACCATTTGTTTTCTTTTCTCTTTTGTCTTCTGTTTTAAACTTTTGTTTAGTCCCCATTGCATTTTCTCAGTGGAGAGTTGGTGAAGCTCCTGCTAAAACAGAACTATTTTATTTTATTTTATTTTATTTTATTTTATTT